GAACATCATGTACACAATATAACCTTCCAATGGGGATCGGGGTGCCTATTATTTTGAAAGTATTTTTAGGACGCTAATAATATAATTGAAATCATTTCTATTTTCAGGAAAGAAGTGTAGATTATTGAATTATTATTTTCTTGGAATTTTGCCCCCGCAGACTTTCCGCTAGTTCCACGATCCCCAAATTGATATTCATCATTAGAAAGTTGTAAGCCGTGATGACACTCTTAGCAATCTAAATAGAAAAAAAAGGAAACGAAACTTATAAGATATTAAACACTGTATTTATTTTTCTATGAACAGAAATGTCAGTGCCAGTAATTTTGAGAATAAAAATAAAAAACTACAAACCTCCAGCTTTCCAAGTACTTCAGAGTAAATGCAAGACTATTAGAATCCTTTGTGTGATGTATATGTATCATCTTAAAATGTGATGCTTCGTTATGAAAGTGCTAACCTGTCTGAACTTAAAATGAAACTCTGTTAGTGGTCAACGTGCAACATATTGCAGTCATTAATCCTAATCCATAATCAACAATCTCGTTTTTAAAGGTTGAACTGCGATCAGCTATTGAACTAATGCATAATATGCTACTCGAATACGAATGAAAGCCTTGCATTTGGACATTCAGAACATAGCTGAAACATTCCTCTAATTGTTAACCAAACAATGCATTATGGTTTTATATGGTTGATGTGTGTTTTAATTTTCTAACAGATAATGATAATTGATCGAATGAATGAGTGTGTTCTTCCGATTTTCCTCGCTTATCTCAAAGCTAATGACAAACCGTTTTCACATGTTTCATTTCACCTCTGACAGATTTATTCTCATAATATTTAGATCTAAAACTGAAGAAAATATGTCACCCTTTGATTATTTATCGAATTATTTCACGTGTAGGGTTATAATCTGATATTTTCAAAACCTACTTGAATTGAATATTCAAGAGTCTTAATAATACCCATTACGTTTAAGGTGGATCGGGTGTCTTCCTCCATCTTTGATTTTGAAGAAGCAGATAACAGTTGGTCTATATCTTTAATGAAGTGCGCAAATTTTGAGTGTAGTATGTAATTCATGTGTAAGACTTTTGATGTAAATATAAAAATTATGTATTTTATCATATTTACAGCTTTAATTTCTAAAACAATCACCATATTTGTGTTTGATTCATTTTTTTCAACTTCGTTAAATAAGGGAAGATAACTCAAATAGTAGGGCAGATAACTGAGATATATTATTTTTGTCTTTTTCTTATCTGAAAGCATGTAAGCTATCTTCTCACATTTTATCTTAAAATTCTATCAGGTAGTTTTCTTTTTATCACACAAAATTGGATTTTCCATGCATAATCTATACAAAATCTGGCAATTTTGCACAACCTGTAGCGGGAAAAAAAAGTCCGGTGACCCATACTTTTTATTATATTTTCGAAAAAAGCATGTACAAAACTTCATTTTGACAAATTATTAAAAAATTCTATGGATTTTAATTAAGACGCCCCAGCCATCTTAAATACTATTTTGGTGCATGTATATCCATCAAAATGTAAAAACACTTTTAAATATTTAGATGCTATATTGGTTCTCAATAATGACGACTTCACTATGTACACGAAAGAGATTTATCCTGCTGAACTGATTTTAAATAAAACTAATATTAACAATGAACACTGTCCTTTCCTATCTCTCACGGAAAGCTTAATACTAAATTTACGATAAAAGAGATGATTTTTTATTTCCTATTGTTAATTATCCATTTTTACATGTTTTAGATGGTGATGTTCCCTAGGCACCATCTTATGGTGTTTATATATCTCAGCCTGTTCGATTCGCTCGTGTATGTAATACTGTATTTGATTTTAACGAAAGAAATCTCTGTATTACTTAAACATTATTACACCAGGGTTTTCGATATCACAAACTTGTCAAAACATTAACTAAATTTTATCATCGGTACAAGGAATCATTCGTAAATATAAATCAACGTGCAGACATCTTATACCTTGAGGTATTTCACATTCCATCTGTTATGGTAATATTCTATACAAAGCACAAACATATCGTCATTTATCTCAAAAGCTAACCAAACCTTTAAACAGACTAAATCAGTTACTATACTGTTGACAGGTCATTAAAGATGGCTTATTTTTAATTAATATTGATTCATTCATAGGGTCTTTTCATCGGAAATAAACATATTTATTCTAAAACCAGTTGCAGACATGATACGGGTTATGTTTTTCTCGTATATTTTATAATGGAATGCGAATTAACCCCTTACGGGAGGGATTGTGCTTGATTTTCATAGCATAGAGACATAATCTTTCAATCAGTTTAATCAGTTTGATTGAGGTCTGGAGCTGGCATGTCAGTAATTTCTAGTAGTCCTTTTGATCATTGTCATTTTCCTTAGTTTCCTCTGTTACCTATTCTAACAACGGACTCGGACTTCTTTTAAACAGAATTTTACTATGCTTATTGCTGTGTGTTTGTTTATTCAATATTTACTAGAGGTATAGGGGGAGGGTTGATATCTTACAAATAATGTTTAACCCCGCCGCATTTTTGTTAGTCTTGTATGTTTTTTTTTTTTTATTTTGGTTCATGTATATGTTTCGGAGTTTAGTGTGACATCCATTTTCGCTGTATTAGTATACAATATTGTTTAGGACCAGCTGAAGCTATCCACTGGGTGGGGTATTTTTTGTTGAAGACCCATTGGTACCTTGGGCTGTTTTCTGCTCTTTGGTCGTTTTTTGTGTCTTTGACACATTCCCCGTTTCCATTCTCAATTTTATTCAAAATGTTATTAAGCGATATTCATTGTTGTCGACAGTACCATATACTAACTTTTAGATGTTTTTTTCTTCATTAGAAAATATCAATTACTTTGTATTTGAAAGACAAAATTATTTGGTTTTGTAAAGAAAACGGTAACCATTCTCCTTGTTTGCGGTACATACTCATATTTGCGAAGCTGCAGCTTTGATGCATTATTTGATAATATGTTAAGAATTATCCCTCAATGTTGTTTGTATAAGACCCTTTCTTAAGCGCAATTTTACATCCATTACCATATGTTTTATGTATTCCTATATTTCAAATATCAAAATTGTAAGCTATATGTTTCTCATCTTTCTTTTGGAAATGTTTGCTCAATAATTAAAATTTACACAACTGTCTTTTTGCCTATTACTGAATGGGTTCTTTTTCAGACCTTTAATCTGTAAAACTTTATAACTTTATGCAGACCAACGCAATTATATCCATTATCTACAGAGTTATTGTGCCCCACGATAAGTATCTATTTTGAAATAAGAAGATCTCTACCACATTTTTGATTACAGATTTAATTTTTTAATTGTTATCAAGCCTTGAACTTGTGACACACAATCGTATTCATCTAAAGCTTTCTTTAAGAATTGTAAACCTCCATTCAAAATTGACATTGTGTCATCAGCAAAATGTGATAACTCATATCTTATCGGTGTCACATTTCTACCTCATTTGAAATATCGAATTAGTTAGTAATGTTTTTCCCAATCATTCTGTCTGAGTATAATATTTTGAAAGCTTGCTCCCAATCAATGGTGTGTGTTCACAAACTATTAAGCATATGGCCATAAACAGTTTCAGAGTAATTGTAATAAATAAAAAAAGGGATTTCCTAATTCAGATGTTGACTTAGCGTATTGTGGGCTGAGAGTAGAATTTTTCTTTATAATCAGACTATTTCTGGAAAATCACACATTTTTATATGTTTGTATAGATAATATGAACATGTCAACCTTTCTATTTCGGTCCGGTTACACTACTTTACATTGTTCTGTAAAAACAGGACGCATCGTCATAGTCCAATTGTTAATAGAAAGAACAGATATACATCCAAACAAAGTAAATAAGGTATGGAAAAGTGTTCTTACCAGGAATCTCTCCGTTCGTTTCATCGGCTCAGACAACAATCAAATTAATTTTTAACACAATGTTCTTAGCCTTATATTTACACACCTTCGAAACATACCTAAATATTCAAAGGGAAAAAAGTGTAATAGATTAAATCAATAGAATACAAAGACATAAATATCTTCAACCCTAATTACACTCAGCTGTAAAAGAGTGATTTTAAAGGAAATGGAAAACTTATTAAGTTAAAAGTGCTTTTCCTGTTTTTTTTTTACGCTTTGTTCATTTGCACAGATGCATTTATAATAATTATTCATGCATGAGCCAATACATGATAGTTATTGTTCAATTTTGTGTTAGGTTTCAATGCATATATGTAAAAATAACGTAACTAAGAATAAGCAGAGATGGATATGTTTATGTATGTGAATATGTGTATTAGTAAAATACATTCAGCTTTACAAATTACAAACTATATACAATATGCAGAACAATCTATTTCGTTGTTTTAAGTTTGAAATGGGTCTACAGCCATAATAATCATATAGAACAGATATCAAATTTAGAAGAGACAAATCAAGGTCAGAAAAACAAAAATGATTGAATGGCGGGAACTTGAAAAGGAGCAAGACCGGGTGTTTCGACAGAGTTAGCGTCTCCTGTTTTCATGCGTCATCTGGCATTCGAATCCACACTCAGTCAGAAGGTCATAATCAGTAATATTTCAGAAGAGACGACTATATTTGTATATACACTTCTATTATCGCGAAAAATGTTGCTAGTGATATGAGACACCGAAGCATTGTATTGGTCAACAAACACGTAATTGTCACAGTCAATAAACAATCCATACTTTTCTGATTGGGTTCCATTAATATATCCTTCTGAACTAGAAATTAAAGAAACAACAGACACGGCTTCTTTCGTCTCATTGTTAGACCTATACATCGAACTTGACATCAGCGGTCACCTAAGTACAAGAATCTATGACAAACAAGACTATTTTAAATTTGTTTTCTCTAATCATTTTTACGAGTGTTTTTATACCAACGTAATATACTATGAACATTGCAACCTTTTTATTTCAGGCTGGTGAAACTCTTTTACACTTAGCTACTAAAGGTAGACACTTCAACATACTTCAATTGTTATTAGAAAGAACAGACATCGATCCAAATAGAGAAAATAAGGTATTGAATGAGGTTCTTTTCAGGTTTGACCGACTTTGTTAAATTGTCCATCAAAATCAACGTCAACACAATGTTGCTTATACAATCAATACACATCTCCGCAAAATACAAGATATCAGAGGGGTTAAAGCAATTATATTCCAACAACAACACCACAACAAATACCAAGACAAACGTCATTCATGAAGTCATGTATATACAGCCACTACGCAGGCAGGTTGATGCTGTTCTACGATAAATTGGCTATTCATTCATAAAAAAATCATACCCAAATTTAATTTTTATCATGCCTTATATTGTCCAAACTTTTAATTGATGGTACCTCAGAACCGCCCACCTGGTTACCATTGTAACGGGCGACATTCAAAAATGGCGTGTGAACCTTTAACTTCATGAGCACAGCAAACCCCAAAGAATGACACTAATGAATAAAAATAAAGTTGCATATGGTTGATAAACATGTTATCTTTCCTGTAACAGCTGTTTCTTTCTTAAAATATGCCTTTTTTTAATAAAAAATATCAGAAGTTACATACAATTCAACCATGCCAACACCAAAAATCAACTTCCATATCAGTTTTAAAATTGATGTGTTCATTTTAAAAACAAGAAACATCGATCTCGGTATTTGTGAGCTTTTCAAGAATAAATATGCTAAGTTTTAAAGAGATCAATAAATATTAACGGGGTGCGCTAATGCCATATAAACGAATAATACACAAGTCGTTTCGTGGCGACATGTAAACATTGAAATGATTCAGATTGATTATTCCCCTTTAGGGTGTCAAAGTGCCGGGAAAGAAATAGACGACATTTTGATAGTTTTTACTTGAAATGAACACCTTAAAGATGTAAAAAAATATAATTTTTATCATTTTTATACTTGAATAATTTAATGATAATTTTTCATTTCTTTCAAATAAGTTTTCTCACACTTAACATCAAAAGCATTGTATATGTCACATTTAAATGATAATCCTTATCACAATACCTTTAATACTTTTTTGGTGGTTTTCAATTATCCATAATAAATGTAGACAAGTATCATCCTGTTGATTTTCTTATGTTATTGTTCTACTGGAAAATTCTGTAATTCTTTAGTATTCTTTAAATTAACAAGTAATATGCCAAGAATAATCTTATATGTATACATGTAAGCACACGCAGTTATCAGCCTATCAAAATACGATGATAGAATTATAATTCTCACCCATTTCACTGTTTATGTATAGATCATCCACAAATATCTCAATAACTAGCATATGATGAACAATGATGTGAAAATTTTCTTTTATGTGTTGACATTACAAGAAAGAAATGAACAGTCCTTTCAAAAACATTTTTGATTCTAGCGTCACTGATGAGTCTTTTGTGGACGAAACGCGCGTCTGGCGCAAATATAAAATATAAATCCTGGTAACTATGATGAGTTTATTTACAACCACTGGGTCGATGCCACTGCTGGTGAGGTTTTAATTCCCCGAGGGTATCACCAGCCCAGTAGTGAGCACTTCTGTGTTGACTTGAGTTATCATTGATATGTTCATATTATAAAGTAACTGTTTACAAAACTTTGAAATTTTGAAATTCTAAGGCTTTTCTACCTCAGGAATAGATTACCTTAGCTGTATTTTGCAAAACCTTTAGGAATTTTATGGTCCTCAATGCACTCCAACTTCGTACTGTTTGGCCTTTTTGAATTTTTTTTTTATTTGAGCGTCACTGATGAGTCTTTTGTGGACGAAACGCGCATCTGGCGCAAATATAAAATTTCAATCCTGGTATCTATGATGAGCTTACTTCCATTAATTTGATACTTTCATTTCTTTGTATTCAATGTTCCAGAGTCAGTTTGAACATGTAATTCTTCATTTTATTTTCATAATAAAACGTGCTTGATTCCAGAGTTCACATGTGACATGGCATAGATAAGTTCATATTCAGCACTGTTATAGTTTTGTTATATATGTCCTCAGTTATAAATGGTCTGACAATTTCCTTGTGTATGTTGATCTTCAAATGAAACAAGTGCTTACTCGTTTTCTCTGATTACCTTTTCCAATTTCAGTTTGTAAAAACTATTATAACACCATTGCCGTCCAAGTCATCTTAATACTGAAAAAAATAATGAAAACAGTAAGTGGCTATTTAAAAGTTATAGGTATTCATGTTATGATACAAATAGAAAACTTCAGTTTAAATTTTGTGTTCCTAAATCATTATGGAATTAAATTAATTTAAAAAAGTTCACTGATTTAAAATGAACTTTCAATTTATGAGTCTTTTGTAAAACTACAATAAAGTTCAAATACAGCTTACTTTAACTGATATTTACCCATCACAATGCAATACCAATTTGTTATTATAAATTATGACTTTATCAATATTGACTGAATCTTACTCAATGCATCAGGAAAGTTATCTAGACCCTCATATACACCTAACACATGAGGGTCTGGATTGTGTTTACAGAATAGATAATAACAATTAATTGGCAAAAAGTGCTGAATGAAGGGATAAAAAATTAAAGAATAAACAAGGACTAATAGGAAAGAGAATAACGGGGTGTTAAAATATAGGAAATGGAGAATAATGGGCAAAATAGATAAAGAATAGAGAAAATGGTATAAGAAAAAAGAATAAAGAAATGAAGGTTCCCCATCAAGACTCATACATTATAATATCAATGCTTACCTTGTGTAGACCTCTTGTTTGATTTTATAAAAAAACTACATGTCTTTAGGCATTAAAATGCAATTTTAATGTGTACATGGGGTAAATCAATCTTCAAAAGAAGTTACAATAATTACTGAAAGGTTTCAAACTAAATTTTATACACACCAGATTGTAAATAAATAAAATAAGATATATGTAAATTGTTGTAAGTGATGCTTGTCATAATGTGAAAAGATCTATACAAAGAAACATATAGGTGCTAATTTTTTATAGTTAATCAATATAACAAATAAACATCAATCTAATGACTAAAACAGAATAAATGAATAAAGACAAAGTTAAAATGTACACAAGAAGGGATGACTGAAAATGAAAGTATGATGATTATCAGATTTAAAACCATCAATGAAAAATTGTTTTTTAAATATGACCATGATAATAAATAATAGTTCTAAAGTCGATAAACATATTTTAACATCTCACGTGCCTGCCTTATTCAATTTTATTTAAAGGAGGCAAGCCATTAGTATGATCAGAGACATATATATCTGATGCCATGTATGCATGTATTTTTTTTTTATTTGGTTTTGTAATATGTTATACATTGGAACAAACATCTAGTAACGAAATAATTTTGCATGTTGAATCAGAGCAATCTGAAGATTGATGCTCAAAATATACTTAATAGATCTTAATAGGTCAAGTGTGTGCTTCCAACATAAAATTAGAATAATGACATGCATGTAAGGCGAATTAAAGGAGGGAGCGGGACGGCATGCTGCGCGGACTTTTAACAAATTCCAATCCTTATGTTTTATTTCTGATGGCCATCATGGACCCGTTATTTAAACATTTTGGACCCGCATCTGTGCATAGCAGGTCAGTCTGCAAAATGTCGACATAAAGTTACTTAGGCAATGGTCAATGAAGATAGGATTGTTTATAAGCGAATAAAATAGTGTTGACTTGCATAAATTATTCAAAAGAAGTTTCTGTATACAAATTGCCGTAGTCATGTTGACAGTGAAACGTGTAACAAAATAGCCCCCTTTTAAAAGTAAACAATGCAGCTTTGTCTACATTTATAATAAATCATCAATGAAATGAATGTCGACGAACCTTGGCAGTCAAAAGGCTAAATTGATTTAAAAACAACTTACCTCAAAATATCAGCAACATCCTTCTATATTAACGTGTTTTTGTTGGATGGTTGACACTGACTTCTATCATAACAAGATGCCCGACCAGCTGTTCGTGACAAGCTCAAACTTGACGTTGACGTAACGTTCTAGCCAATCATGTGTCGCATAGTTTAGAAAATGACGTCAGATTTATATTTCGATGAAATCATCGAAAATCAATGCCTATTCTTTTTTAATTGCATTAACCTGCCTGCATACGTATTTGATTAAAGTCTAAAGTTGGTAAACCTGCATAACAAAAGATGTAATACTGTTGCAAAAAAAAATGAATGTAACAAATTAAATTCAACGAAACTGAACATATGATACAGATTAAAATAAACAAGCAATATCAAAAATAAGCAATTGTTTTTTTTTAAAGTAAAAACACCTGTGAATTTTGTTTTCTTTTGTAGTCTGTAGAACAGCATATATTGATTAGCTGTTTCTAATAATTACACGAGTCTGATCAAAATCAATCAATTAAGCTCAACATGTTTTTGAATTAAACAAAAAAAAAATAGCAATTACTCATGCACCAATTATAAATATAGATAGATATATTGTAATGTGTTCTATTTATCCAATGTTAGACCCTAAATGTAAATGCATGAAGCTTCTTTTAAACTGATTTTCAATGTGCGTATTGCTGTGTGTTTGTTTATTCTACATTGGCTAGAGGTATAAGGAATCTCATAAAACATGTTTAACACCCCACTCTCCCCCAGCATTTTTGCGCCTGTCCCAACTCAGGAACTTCTAGCCAATGCTAGTCTTGTATGTTTTTTTTAAGTTTCGGTTCAATTATATGGATCGGGGTTTAGTATGACGCCCATTTTCTATAAACTAATACAAATTTTTGTATGGGGGCCAGCTGAAGCCCGCCTCCGGGTGCGGGATTTCTCGCTGTGCTGAAGACCCATTGGTGGCTTTGGCCTATTTTCTGCTCTTTGGTCGGGTTGCTTCAATTTGACACATTCATCGTTTCCATTCTCAATTTTATTGAAAACAAAATATTGCAATTCTTTCGAGAACATAAAGTATGTTAGTCTGATAAAAAAAAAAAAAACAAAAAAAAAAAACATATGCCCATTGGTTTTATTATTGTTCATCTTGACAGTTAGTACAAGTACCTAAGCCTTA